TGGGGCTGGGTTTGGGGTTCAGGGCTGGGATCTGGGTTTAGGGCTTGGACCTGGGGACTGGGTTCGGGGGCTGGTTCTGGGATCAGGGATCTGGGTCTGGGTGTGCAGGAGCCGCGGCAGACGGGGCCCTGCGCCTCCACCCCCCAGCACAGCTGTCGCCAGCTGTCCCCGAGTGCGGTGCCTGTGTCTCTCTCCTTCCACACGCCCTGACAGCAGGAAAAACGGCTCCCATCTGTCTCTCCATTCATTCATTTCCCCTCTCCCCGCAGCCGCCGCCGCCGGGCCCTGCTGCCCTCTGCTGCCTGCCAGGGGAGGAGATCGGGATCGGGGCTGCCCACGGCGAGTTCTCTGTGCCCCCGTGTGCCGCCAGCCCTACCCTAAAGGCACACCTGTGCCAGCCCTGCCTGAGTCCTGCAGCACTCACGTTTTGCGTTCACGAGGTGGCTCCAGGCTCGGTCTGTTCCTGCACTGAGCCAGAGCTTCTGCATGGAACATCTGCCTCTCACTTGCTGGGACAAAATTACTGTGCTAATCCTGCTGCCCCACCTCAGCAGCCCTGCAGAAACGTCCCCAGGAAATCCCCTCTGGAAGGGAAAACCTCCCAGGAAAGGGAGGTTGTGGCTGCCCCATCCCTGGAAGTGTCCAAGGCCAGGTTGGATAAGGCCTTGAGCGACCTGGTCTAGTGGGAGGGGAGTGGAACTGGGTGAGCTTTAATGTCCATCCCAATCCCTTCATAATCTATGATTCTCCTGCTGTCTCTCTCTCAAACAGTGCTGGGGACCTCGTGGCTGAGGGTTGGGGCCTCTGCACCACAGGGTGGCTGTGAGAGCTTTTGCTGGGCAGAAACCTCCTTGAATTTCCTCCTCATTACCCTAAGAAGGTTCTGTTGATCCAGTGCCTGTCTGTGCTTTACTCTGCTCCCCACAAAAACCCCAGTGTCCATCTTGTCCCCTGTCAGGTCAGTGCTCCCACCTGCCTGGGTGAGGGGCTGCTGCCAGCCCAGAGCTGCCAGGGCTCTGCCTCTCCTCCACAGGCCATGGTCTGTCCCTGCTGCTGTCCCCACTGGGCACCAGGACTGCCCTGGCACTTGGCCCCATGGAGGGAGGTGAAGCTTAAGCAGGGTGGGGAGCAGCCTTTCTCCTTCCAGAGGTGTTTTTGCAAGGGACTGTCCACTCCTTGTCCTCCCAAAGCTTCCAGGGCCATCCGACTCCCAAAATTCAAGACAAAGATTCCTCCCAGACAAAAGGTGCCACCACAGAAAGCTCTTGCTGCCCATGGAGTGCCGAGAGTGGCACAGCAACTGCACGAGAGACAGAGGGGCAGGGCTTTCTTTCCTGGGTGGAACGGCAGTTGTTCGCTTGCAGAAGCGAATTTCAGCACAGGCACACACACACAGACTCACGTGTGTGCAGGACACACACACATGTGTGTACAGGCACACAGACGTGTGCAGGACACACACTCACAAGACACACACACACAGACATGGGCAGGACACACACAGACCCACATAGTCTCATGTGTGTGCAGGACACACACGTGTGTACAGGCACACAGACACATGTGCAGGACACGCACACGTGTGTACAAGACACACACACAGACATGTGTGCAGGACACACGCACGTGTACAAGACACACAGACAACGTGTGCAGGACACACACTCATGTACAAGACACACACACACAGACACATGTGCAGGACACACACAGACCCACATAGTCTCACATGTGTGCAGGACACACACATGTGTGTACAGGCACACAGACAGGTGTACAGGACACACACACCTACATGTAAAAGACATAGACACACACACACAGCCCCAGACACATGTGCAGGACACACAGACACGTGCGTACAAGACACACAGAAACACACAGACACATGCATGTGCAGGGTGCACACACATGTGTACAGGCACCAGACACATGTGCAGGACACACGCACATGTACAAGACACACACACACAGACAACGTGTGCAGGACACACACACATGTACAAGACACACACACACAGACGTGTGCAGGACACACACAGACCCACATAGTCTCACATGTGTGCAGGACACACGTGTGTACAGGCACATAGACACATGTGCAGGACACGCACACGTGTGTACAAGACACACACAGACACATGTGCAGGACACACGCACGTGTAAAAGACACACACACACACAGACACATGTGCAGGACACACACAGACCCACATAGTCTCACATGTGTGCAGGACACACACACGTGTGTACAGGCCCACAGACACGTGTGCAGGACACACACACCTGCATGTAAAAGACAAAGACACACACACAGAGCCCCAGACACATGTGCAGGACACACACACGTGTGTACAAGACACACACACACAGACACATGTGCAGGACACACACACGTGTACAAGACACACAGACACATGTGCAGGACACACACAGACCCACATAGTCTCACGTGTGTGCAGGACACACACACGTGTGTACAGGCACACAGACACATGTGCAGGACACACACACCTGCATGTAAAAGACAAAGACACACACACACAGTCCCAGACACATGTGCAGGACACACAGACACGTGTGTACAAGACACACAGAAACACAAAGACACACGCATGTGCAGGGTGCACACATGTGTACAGGCACACAGACGTGTGCAGGACACACACACGTGTGTACAAGACACACACACACACAGACACGTGTGCAGGACACACACTCATGTACAAGACACACACACACAGACACATGTGCAGGACACACACAGACCCACGTAGTCTCACGTGTGTGCAGGACACACACATGTGTGTACAGGCACACAGACAGGTGTACAGGACACACATACCTGCATGTAGAAGACAAAGACACACACACACACCCAGAAACACGTGCAGGACACACGCACATGTGTACAAGGTACAGACACACACGTGTGTGGGACATACACACACGCATGTACAAGACACACACAGAGAGATGTGTAGGACACACAGACACGTGTACAAGACACACAGACACACACATGTGCAGGACACATACACGTGTGTACAGGCACACAGACCCATGCACAGGACAAACACATGTGTGTACAAGACACAAGCACAGATGTGTACAGGACGCACACGTGTACAAGGCACAGACACACACGTGTGCAGGACATACACACACGCATGTACAAGCCACACACACGCAGACCCACACA